ATTTCAGCCAGGTGAGGTGGCTCATGTCTGTAATCCCAGCGCTGTGGGAGGCAGAGGTAAGAGGATTGCCTGAGCCCAGGGATTCGAGACCAGCCTTGGCAACTTGGTGAGACCTTGTCTCTACAATACGTCAAAAAATAAGACGGGTGTGGTGGCTCTTGCCTGTGGTTCCAGCTACTTGAAAGGCTGAGGTGGAAGGATTGCCTGAGTCCAGCAGATTGAGGCTGCGGTGGCTGTGAGTGTGCCAGTGCATTCCAGCCTGGGCGACAGAGTGAGACTCCTACTTAAAAAAAACTTCAGAGAGTAAACTTTTGAGGGAAGTTAAACTGGGGAAAAAGAAGAAAAGAAGGGAAGGGATCTGGGCATAGAAGGGAAGGGGTCTGGGCATAAAAGGGAGTGATTGAAAGCAAAAGTGTTAGTTCTCAGAGGGGAAGTCAGAGTGGGTCTTAGCTGGGAGAAAATGGGATATGGACCCAGAGGTTAGGACATCTTGTTCCAAAAGACAAAGGGTTGATAAGAGAAAGGGGTTGAGAGATAAGGGCTGTGGGATGTGAGCTGGGAAGTTTGAGGGTCCTATGTGCGAGGGCTTTGTTATCCCAGCGTCAAGACTGAGGTTTGATTTCCTTTGGAGATTGTGGGAAATTATTTGTGAGGGGCATTTTCTGGATCCAGGAGTGGAAGGGTCTCAGGAAAAGAGGTGCCTGGGGTTGTGAGGGGTGGTGCAGTCCCTGAAGGGTATGGTACCTCCAGGCCTGGAGTTTCTCTAAGAGTCGAGATCTCCATCTCCAGCAGCCCATGGACTCTCCCGTCCACCCTGGGTCAAGGGCTCGGATTTTTGTTCCCCACCTCGCCACCCAATCTAACCCGCAGTCCTGCCATCCGCAGATTGCAGCCCAGATTCTGGTGTGCCGGAGGTGATGAGGTCTGGAAGCAGCAGCACTTCCCCAGTTCAGCACCCTGGATCTCGGAGGACACTCAAGAGCAGGGGCAGTCCAGAGCCTAGTCCAGAGGCTGCAACCGATGGTCCCACGGTTCCTCCCCCTGAGCTCCGCACGGAGGACCCCGACGATCGTATCCCCGGTTCCCCGGGGCCTTGGCTAGTGCCTAGCGAGGAATGTCTCTCACGGGCCTTAGGGGTTCCAGGGACCACACAGATCGCTCAGGAGATGGCAGCCGGAAGGCGGAGGCACTGAGCGTACCTTCGATGGCAAGGTGCTCCCTTGTTACCACCCAATCTGGATCTGGCGTCTGGCGTCCCCCACACTAGCACCGCCCCGAGAACTTCCACTAGGTCTAGTCCCTACTCCCCTCGCAGTGTCACTGGTACGGCCCTTCCAGACCAGCCAGCCCCGCGCGTCTGGCTCCTGGCGGGGGAGGTAATAAAGTTAAAGGTAATCCAGTCTTGACTTGCCTCGCGCTCTAGGCAGGGTGGGGCTGCCCCGTCCACTCTGTAAAGGACCAGGCCTCTTCGTGTAACCACTGACAAGCTTCCTGTTGTTTCTTTCCTGCTTCCAGATAGGTCTTTACTTCTGTCGTCCCTCAACCGGGCATTCTTTCTCCACAGATCTTTTCTGTTCGCCAACTCCGGCTCTTCTCATTCATTCATTCATTCATTCATTCATTCATTCATTCATTCCTCTTTCATGGAGGCGTGCAGGGGCTCACACGTAATTATTTTGCGTGGCATGGGGATTGCAGAGGTGGCCTCTTGTGGCAGGAGTGCACTACTATACCCACAGTCCCGGCTCAGGATCGTCCAGATCCTCATCCAACTTCAGGACAGCAAGGCTAGAAGCAGGGCGGCTTCCTTTGCCGGGAGGCTGCGGTCTCCCACTTCCGGCCTAGCCCGCCAGCTTTCGCTGGCACATAGACTGCCACTCTCAGGGCACCGGCTGGGCGTTCCCCTTTGGGGCGGAGCTGGGAAGGTGTGAGTCAGCGCCCCCGGGCGGGTCGGGCTAAAAAAGGCGGTTAGAACCTTGGGGCCGCGCCCCCGTTTTCCGTAGAAGGCGAAGAACTGCAGCCGGGCTTGTGTGCACACGCCACGAGCTGGGCGTTCCCAGGAGAGGCCCAGCGTTTTCTCCTCCCTAGGAACAGAGCCCCACAGTCAGGGCTTATATGGCCAGCGGGACTCCAACCTGGGTAACCCGAATATGCTGGCAGAGGCCAGAAATGTCCAGTCACCTCCGCTGTCACCACATCCTGAACCCTCGGTCCCATCCCCCCCAGTCGAGGGAAGCTGTGGTCTGACTGTGGGCTACTTTAGGCCTATGGGGAGGGGGTGGGGAGGAAAGAACGAAATTAATGGACCAGAGTATGATAGTCCAGGGAGGCTGCAGAGGACAAGGGGCTGCAAAAAAAGCTGGGAGAGCTGGGAGCTGGAGTATGAAGCAGTGAAGAGGTGCACACTTGAATGGTTAGAGCTGTAGAAATTGTGGGGGTGTTTGCCGGGTGGCTTCCAGCTACCCCTGAGTCAGAGCCTGGTGGAGGTGTGGCTCTACAGAAGTCAGCAAAGGGCTCAAGAGCTCCATTCCTCTAAACACAGTCACACGCAGGAGGCTAATAATAGTCGTTCCAGTCAGTCGCCATGTACTTAGTCTTCTCCCTGCTACTGGCTTTATTGCAACATTTATTTTCATCTGCAGCAGTTGCACATCTACTAACAATCCTGATGTGTCCACTTCACAGAGGAGAAAAGCGAGACCCAGAGAGTACAAATAGCTCGAGGGACGGGTATTGAAGCAATATTTAATCAAGGTCTGCTTCCCAAACCTGTCCTCTTAATCTCACCTGCATTGACAAGTATTAATTGAAGCCCAGCTGCATACCTTGCACTTTGATAGGCACTGTGGAGATGCTGGGGAAATAAGACATAAATATTTCTTCCTTTGTCTAGCTGATGTAATGGGGGTAGACAGGTGTCGGACAACAAAGACAAGACAATGAATAAAGAAAAGAGAATTTGTTTTCTTTTCTTTCTTTTTCCTTTTGAGTCGGAGTCTCACTCTGTCACCCAGGCTGGAGTGCAGTGGCACGCTCACGGCCACTGCAGCCGCAACTTGCTGGGCTCAGGTGATCCTTCCGCCTCAGTCTTCCAAATAGCTGGAACTACAGGCATGCACCACTACACCTGGCTAATTTTTTGATTTATTGTAGAGATGAGGTCTCGCCAAGTTGCCCAGGCTGGTCTGGAACCCCTGGGCTCAGGCAATCCTCTTACCTCGGCCTCCCAAAGTGCTGAGATTCCAAGCATGAGCCACCGCTCCTGGCTTAGAAAATAGAATTTCAGAGAAAAGTGAGAGCTATGAAACTAGCAAAAAGGAAGTTATATTGGGGAAAATGATGGTGGGCTTCTGGCCTCTTTGAATATATAACTCTTGAGCTGGGACTTAGATGACTGGAAACTAGGTATATGAAGAGCTGGGGGAAGGACATTGACAGCAGTGGGAACAGCAAGTGCAAAGGTCCTGAGGCAGAGCCAAGTTTGTCTTGTATCAGAAATTCAGGCATGTTCTCAGAGTTGGGAAGCGTACAGCACTGGGAAAAGTATGTTTCATCCTTTCCACTATTCAATCACTCTTTCAGCAACCTAGGCTGAAAGAGGTAGCCCCTTCAGGAGATCAGGTAGGCCCTTGAGTTGGACCTCTGACCTTCCAGATGTGATTTTCCTCACCTCAAATGAGATGAGAATAAAAAACAGTGTCCAGTCTGGAGAGTGCATCCTTCAGCGTACCTCCTGGATCCTGATGCCAGGTGACCAGGTGCATACCTCAGATGCAGAAATTATAAGTGTGCCGGGAGAAATAATTTGCTCAAAGTAACACACTCTACAAACATCATTAGCTTTGTCACCCAGTCTTACACCCTAGGAACCATCCCCTCATCTGCCACGCACCCAGCAATAAACCTCCCCATTCTTCATCTAGGACTGGGCTAACAGGTTCCTCCCCTCAGAGCAAGGAAACTGAGGCCCATTATTTAGGGCCAGGGCTTCCCTGGCATTGCAGAGCACAAAATCAGACCCTGGGCTCCTTAAGCTCTAGCACCACTAGTAATGCCTGCCCTCATTTACTGAGCAGCTCGACTGCAGCAGGCATTGCTCTGCCTTTGCACCAGCAGGGTTTCATTCTCATCACTGTGTTTTTTTAGTTGTAGTCTCACTGTAGCCCAGGCTGGAGAGCAGTGACACACTCATGGCCACCACAGCCTTGACCTGCTGGTCTCAGGTAATCATTCTGCCTCAGCCTTCCAAGTAACCAGAACCACAGGCGCATACTCCCACACCCAGCTAATTTTTGATTTCTTGTAGAGATGAGGGCTTGCCAAGTTGCCCGAGCTGGTCTCAAACCCATGGGCTCAGGCAATCCTCTCTCCTCGGCCTCCCAAAGTGCTGGGATTATAGGCATGAGCCACCGTGCTTGGCCCATCACTGTTAACGAGTTTTTTTCTGTGGCTCGCAATCCTTTATTCCGAAGTCCAAAAAGCTCTGGAAATCGTTTTTCTAGAAGTTTGGCACCATTTAGTTACAAAATCTGACCTGACCTAATGAGGAACAATTTTCGATCCTTACTTAACCACTTATTGTGAACGTTCACACCTTTTTTTTGAGAAATGTTAATGTGTTTATTTATTTATTTACCTATCTATTTATTTTTAACGCGACAGCTACAAACTTCGCTGACAGTATACGCACGGGAAAAACGTCCTAAAGTTCAAGATGTTCTGAATTCTGGAAACACACCGGGGTCCGAGTCTTTCGGGCTTAACCATAGCTTTGGTCGTTTTTCAGCTAAGGAAACTGCCACTCCCTCCTAAAGCCAGATTCCCGCGGTACTAAATGGAGGCTGCCGAGGGCGCATTGGCATTCTGAAAAGGCGTAGGGTCTCGCCTTTGCTAATCCCGGGACTAAGATGGGGCGCCCTGGGGGCTGTGCGCCAGGCCACATTCTTGGCGGGCGGGGCGAGGGGGCTTCCGGGGCGGCAGCCACCTGGCCCGGCCCCCTTCGGCCCCGCCCGCTTCAGCTCAGCCCGGTGATTCACTCCCTCCTTCGCCCCGGGGGCTCCCTTCCTGGCCAGACGGCGGGCAAGACGGCTGGGTGTGCAGCGTTCTCGAACCCGCGAGCAAGCGAGCCATTCCTCCGCGGCCCCAGGGACTCCGGCCCATGCCATGGCGGATTCCGAGCGCCTCTCGGCCCCCGGCTGCTGGGCCGCCTGCACCAACTTCTCGCGCACCCGAAAGGGAATTCTCCTGTTTGCTGAGATTGTGAGCGTCTTGGGACAGGAGGGTGGGTTAAGGCGGGGTGAGGCTGCTGGACCACACAGAGCTGGACCGTTCGGGGTGAGGCAGGCACGTGGCAGGGGCGCTCCGCAGTGGGGTGCATGTGGGTGGACTTGTGGTGGAGGCCGGAAACTAGGGGCTCATGGCGAGTCGGTGGAGTTTGGAGAAGGTGGTCGAGAGTTGGTGGCTCATGGGGTGAAGCGAGAAACCTATAACGCATATGGAGAGTTTCGTGACGGGAGCCGGCGTGGGCTCATTGGTGGACGCATTAAAAGGGTCCCGGGGGACCTGGGAAGTGGGGGGCCTCCCGCGGCAGGGCGTGTCGCGGCTTGGGCACAGGCGGGCGGGCTGGCAGTGCGCCCAGGGGCGGGGCCTGTCGGGGTGGGGCCCAGCGCACTAGTCCCGTGGGGTTGGGCGCCTCACCTTTTGCTGCTTTTTCCTCGCCCTTCTAAGGCCGGGCGGGATACCCTTAGCTTTTTGAGCCGCCTAGGAGCCTAGGTTTTCCGCCCCCCTCAAACTGGGCGCCGCCTTTGAGTATCTTACAAAAGTAGTGTAGCTCCTTTAACAGAGCCTTACCCCTCTGATGTCGCTCTAACCGCTTCCCAAAAGGGTTACCGAGGGAACCGCACGCCCTGCCCCCACAAGGCCACAAAGCTGGCGCCGGCGGTGCTCACAAAACACCTGGCAGAGCTACTCCCCTAAGGCTGTTCATATCCTAGAAGGAAAAAGGGGGTGGGGTGGGGGGGTGGAAACTGAGGCACCCAAGTCTACTCCTTACTTGCTGGGCAACCCTGGGAAAGTCGTTTAACCTCTTTGAGCCTCACTTTTGTCGTCTGTAAAATAGAGATACTAGTAAGAGTACCCAGCTCATTAGATTGTTGTGATGATTAAGTGAATTTGGAACACAGTGAGCTTACAAAAAGTGCTTAGCTATTATTGTGTGTAATTTTCCCAATCCTGGTGGGCATCTGAGGTTGAGAGCCCCAATTTCAACCAATCTCTTCAGCCATGTTGCTGACCGAGTTCCCCTTTCCCATGTCAACCTTCCAGATACTGTGCCTGGTGATTCTGATCTGCTTCAGTGCTTCAACACCAGGCTACTCTTCCCTGCCGGTAGTTGAGATGATCCTTGCTGCTATCTTCTTTGTCATCTTCATGTGTGATCTACACACCAAGATACCATTCATCAACTGGCCCTGGAGTGTGAGGAGAGGGCCAATGGTGGCAAGGCTGGGGAGGGGACTGGGCAGTTAGGATTAACTCTGGATGCCGACTTCCCTTTTCTCCTCCCTATATCTCACAGGATTTCTTTCGAACCCTCATAGCGGCGATCCTCTTCCTAATCACCTCCATTGTTGTCCTTGTTGAGAGAGGAAACCACTCCAAAATCATCGCAGGGGTAAAGGCCATGGAGGCAACTCCAAAGCACAGACAGAAGGGTTTGAGGATCCAGGGGCTTCTGTCAGAAAGTGTGTGCTTCTGGCAGAAAGTGTGTGACCCCACAGCAGGTTACACTTGCCCTCACAGCCTGCAGGAGAGTCTGGCTCCAGACCTGGTTTTGTCTCCCAGGATCTTCATTTGCTATGAAGGGCTGTCCATTGTCTGGCATAAGAGCCATTGTGGGAAGGACAAACAGGCGATCCCTTTGTCAACACGCGAGACTACCATCCGCTAGAACTTTGTCTCAAACGTAGCATGAGTTGTTCCCCCTACCTGTGGGGCCACAGTTTGGAGAGGTACTAGGAGAGAGGGTGGGATAAGATCCAGTCTCTTGGCCTTTTCCTGGGGCTCTGGCTTCCCAACCTGAGGCTTGAGTTATTTATCCGGCATGGGTCAGGTGCTGGAGGTAATGATTTCAAGGAGGTGAGAAGCTGAGTAGGCTGACCACCTAATCCAGCTCCTCTCACTCCTATGTCACTCCTCAGGTACTGGGCCTGATTGCTACATTCCTCTTTGGTTATGATGCCTACATCACCTTTCCCCTTCGGCAGCAAAGACATACAGCAGCCCCAACTGGTAAGTGTGTGTGTGTGTGTGTGTGTGTGTGTGTGTGTGTGTGTGTGTGTGTTGGGGAGTGCTGCTGAGAGGGCAGAGGAGAAAAGGAAAGGAATCTCTGTCACTTACTGGTACTTAGGGCTTTTGTACCAATAAGTACCATACATTTCAGTATCCATGTCTGTAAAATGGGCATATGGATCCAGCCAATGTTTTCTCTCTTTTCCTCACTTACAGATCCCACAGATGGCCCAGTGTAGGCGAACTCCCCTCATTTCTCTCTGCAACCTGCAAATAATTCCTCCATCGAAATAACTCCTCCCCACCCCTGCAACAACAACACTCCTAGCCAATTAATTTCCAGCCCCCTGTTGAGGTAAAAGCGCCTTTATTGAGAGAATTTTGTCTTCCAGCCTGCCAAACAACCCTCCTGGGTGTGGCCACCTTTATGGGGGTGCCTAGGTCTTCCTTCCTTCTGCAGTATCAGAAAGACGATGCTAGTTCTGCCAGAACCATCCCCCCACCTAAGACAATGAGGGAGGAAGGTGCCTTGGATTTCTGACTCCAGGCCCCAGGTGGTGATCCACTCCAAAATAATCTTGGTGTGGGGGGTGGTTCTGTGGAGGAATAAATAAATAATAAACAGATTGTTAAAATATATGATAATGAATAAAGTAATCCTTTGATTAAATGTGGATAAATCTCAGGCATCAAGTGGGTGAAATCAAGGGGGGTTGCAGCTGGGACAAGGAGGCAAAGAAGCCAGGCCTGTTTTACAACAAATATTAAATTACTTCAATAATATAAACAGATGAAGGAAGAACAAAGGAAGGAGATTTATGACTTAGATTGGGGGGAGTCATCCTCTATGCTGATTGGAGAATGGACCCCCTTCCAGGACTGCCTGCCTTCATGCCACGATGCAGTTTTTGTCTCGACCCTGTCGAGACATCCCTGAGCGAGAGTCCCTGGGGGGTGGTGAGGATGGAGAGTTGAAGGTCTCAGTTGCAGTATCCTGAGCCTGCATGGGCCTGCACAGGTGTGGGGGCAGGGGGATGCGTTCTCCTAGGAAGAAGCCGTCATCCTCTGAAGACTCGGAACTGGAACTGGAGGGGGAGCTGGAGCAAGATCCTGAGTCTGACCCTGATCCCAAGTCACTTTGATAGTGGCGACGTCTGCCAGGGTGGCGGTAGTGGTGGTGGTGGTGGTGGCGGCGGCGGCGACGGCTGGGGGCCTTGGGTGGAGGACTTCGTGGCCTGCGGCGCTGGGCCGGAGGTGCACTAAGGGTCCGCCGAGGACCTCCCTCAGACACCAGAGGGTCGCGGAAACTGACGCGTGGGGTGCTCTGGCGACCGAAGGCACTATTGTCCGGGTGTGGGTCTGGCTGCCCGGTGGACTCTGCGGGGGGCTCGGGGGCCCTGCGAAGCCCCAGCTCAGGCATAGAGTGGCGGTGGGGGGCCCCTCTCAGAAAGCGGGAGGGCTCCTCCGAGCCTAGAAAGAAAGAGATGGAGCGACTCCCTGTATATGCCCCCTCCTGCGGGGAGACCTCTTGAAGGGCCTTCTCCTTTCCTTGACTGGGACTGGGAAAGTGAGGCAGGAGTCGGAGATGGGCAGGGAGATGGATAGTTTGGGAAGTATGAGGCCTGGAGCAGGTTCTCGGTGGAGAGAGGGTTGGAAGTAAGAACGCAGGAGCAAGACAGAATCGGCATATGGGGTATGGTTCAGCAAGGGCGTGGCTTCAAGTGGAAGGGGTGTGGCACAGGCTAGAGTAGATCTGGTTTGCAGGTAAATGGGGACAGGGCTTGGTTGCAGAGTGTGGAGGGTGACCGACTGGAGGAAAGGAAGAGGAACCTGGGCTTAAGCAGGGATAAATGGAGGTAGGGAACAGGCCCTGTAAATTAGAAGGGTGGAATCAGGGTTCATGAGAAAGGTGTAGTTTGGGCTGGAGACTATGCCTGGAATGGTGTGGGTATGGATGCTGGGCTGAGACGCGGGTGGGGCCAGGGATGCAACAGGTGAAGGGCCCGGGTTGAGGCAGGGCCGGGGGTGGGGGTGCTGGGGCTGTGGCCGGGCATGGCTCGAGGGGTAGCTCACCAGGTGCTGACTCTGTGCAGGTGCCCTTAGTGGCTGTCTCAGACCGCCCCTCTGCAGCAGAGAATGAGGCTGTGGAGGCTGCCACAGATGCGGTGACCGTGCCCGCGCTCCAGCTGCGGCGGCCAGGCCCGGGAGTGGTGGGCTCGGACCCAAGACTGCAGGCTCGTGAGCAGAAGATTAGGCCACGGCGTGGCAGGAAGGGACGGCCCAGTAGGGCCCGTCCGCAGCGACTACAGCAGAAGCAACGGTCTGAGGCGTGCCAGTGCTGGCCCTCGTAAGCCATCTGGCCCTGGTCCAGGCCTGCAGGGACCAACACAAGGGGGAAAACTGTGGCAGAACCTCCAGGCATACCTCGTCCCTGGTGAATAAGTCCCTTCTTGGGGAGAGGTGGGGATCTGAGGCCAGGTACCTGGAGATACTCTCCCCCCCACTCCAGAATGGGGGTCCTTCTCTGCAGAAAGCAGGAAACCCAAGGTTTGGTTCTTGCCCCATGGTTCCTCATCCTCCTCTCCTGGAGGCTGACTGGTAAATGTCTCCCTCCCACTCCTTTCTTTCCCAGGGTGTTCCCTCCCAGAGTGGTGGTGGATATTGGACTCTTAAGATTTGGGCCAGGGTCTGCTGCGCTGGCTCACACCTGTAATTCCAGCACTCTGGCAGGCAGAGGTGAGAGGATTGCCTGAGTCCAGGGGTTTGAGACCAGCCTGGGCAATTTGGCGAGACTTCGTCTCTACAATAAGTAAAAAATTGGCCAGGCATGGCGGTGTGTGCCTGCAGTTCCAGCTACTTGGAAGGCTGAGGCAGAAGGATCGCCTGAACCCAGCAGGTCGACGCTGCAGTGGTAGTGAGCGTGCCACTGCACTCCAGCCTGGGCGACAGAGTGAGGTTTCGACTCATAAAAAAAAAAGATACGGGCCAGGTTTAGATATTAAAGGGTGGCTTCAGGTGGAAATAGAGTGGAAGGTTGGATCTGAAAAAGAGGCCTGGGTGGTGGTGGCAAGGCTCAAAAGGTAAGGTATTGCCTTGGCAGGAAAGGAATTGGTCTTAGAGGTAACTGTGTAGCTAGTTACCTAGGCTGTGACCTAGGCTGATGGGGGAGAGTGGAAGAGAATAGGGCATAGCTTGGGGTAGTAGAAGCTAGGCTTAGAGGGGAGTCCTAGGGACTGAGCCTTAGAAGGCACTCTGGAGGTCCGCATGTGGTGGCCAAGTGTTGTGTAGGTGGGATTTAGAAAGTATGGCATAGTGGGGGATCTTGGGGGTGGGATTGCACCAAAGGGTACAGACCTATGGTGCCGGGGCTAGACAAATTATAGGGTACAGTGGGGATGGGGTGTGGAGGACAAGAGGAATCCTGGCGGAGTGGGGCTGTGACCCAGCTGTCCATCCATCCCTCTGTCCAGTTCCACCATGTTTACCTACCGATGTGCTCCCCACAGCCATCACAGTACTCTGCGTGGCGGGCCTCGTAACAGGCACAGCAGTGGGGGCGGCTCTGACGCATGACATAGCGTTGCCCTCCTAGCGAAGCTTCACACTCGAAGCAGCAGAAGTGACCCATGTGCCAGTGCCGACCCTCAGCTTCCGTGCACTCAGGGGAGAAGATGATCTGGAGGACACAGGCCATCCATCTGTGGCTATCAGATGGGCCCGCCCCCGGCCCTGCCCATCCTCCACTCCCACCCCAGGCAGGGAGGCCCAAACCTCATCACAGGCTTGGCAGCGTGGGCGCAGGCGTTCGGCATGGTGGCGCCCACAGTAGACCTTGCCCGCATGATAGAAGTAGATGAGGTCAACGAGCAGCTCCCGGCACGTGGTACACACAAAGCACTGTGGGTGCCAGCAGGTGCCCAGGCCTGCACGGCTGGCAAACACTGCAATGTCCCCACCTCCGATTTGCTTCCCGCACTGCCATGGAAGAGACAGACGCTGTTGCCATCACCAAGATGGTCAGATGGATGGGATAAGTCAAGACGGGGTACATTTGGGCTTTCTCCATGGTGAACCTTTGTGACCCACAGGTGACTTTGACACAGGCCCCGCCTGTACAGGGGTGAAGTGAGGGGGCACCTTAGAGACTGATCATGTTCATGGGGAAAGTCATAGAGACAGGCTCTACCTATCTTGGGTGGTCTTACATACAAGTTTCACCTAGTGGGGGATGGGATGACAGAGACAGACCAGGCCCCATGAGGGAACCATAGAGATAGTCTCCACCCACTTGGACCTTAGCAACAGGTCTTACCTAACAGTAGGATCTAAGGACAGGTTCCACCCACCACCGGGCTCTGGAGACAGGCCCTGCCACTGTGGGTCAATTCTTAAGGACAAGTTCTGACCACAAGAGGACCAGAGAGACAGCCTGCAACCCACTGCACGTAGAAAGCACACTAGGGCCTCCTTAGAGACAAACCACATTCAACAGTAGGGTCTGAAGGACAGGTTGATCCACAGGGGGGGGACCCCCAAAGACACACCCCGTTCACCAAGGGGCTCTTAAGAGGCAGTCCCTGCCCAACAGTGAAATGTGAAGCATAGGCCTGGTTCACCAGAGGGGATCCTCTGGGGCTCAAGTGGCAGGCCTTATCTTTCCATGGTCTGGGCGATGGGCCCTGTACCCTGGGGCTGGGAACAAAGGCACTGCTCACTTGCCAAGACCCTCCATGACTCACCTCCTCACAGATGGCCCCAGTGATGGTCACTGGGAAGATGCGCACAGTGCCACGCCCCAGATTCTCCCGCTTTCGTTGCTGGCTGAAGGTTCTGAGTTCTTTCTTCTCCTCCTCTTCCAGTGCTGTACAGTACTGTGCCTGGGGGGAGCAGGCATCTTCCAGGCTCCTTCCTTGACACCTGCCCCTGTTCCTCTTTCAGACTTCATCCACACCCCAAAAGTCTAGGCCTTTGTACAGATTGTGCCTCCTGCCTGAAGCACCCACCCCTTACTGCTGCTTCCATGGCCCGGCTTCATGTCCCCTGATGGTCCCTGTCTGTGCAGACTTTTCACCTCAGATTAGCTCACCTTTCCTCCTAAGACCCTGCCCATTTCTTTCCAGCTGCCCTGCATTCGCCCAGGCTGTGCCCTGACCCAGGCATGCCCTACCTGTCTTCTCTCTCCTCACCTCACTGTCGTGTGGGGGCAGCTGGTGCAGCAGCTGCTTGATCCTGTACTTCTCCCCGGGACTGTTGACATAGGGGACTTTGTCTTCTGGGAGGCAGCTGAAAAATTGGTATACCTGGGAGGACATGTGAGGTGGGAGAAAACAATCGAGGTTAGGGGTGAGTTGGGATGCAAGGAGGTGGTGGGTCTCCACATCTCTGAGAAAGCTAAAGTCACTAGAAAGGAGCTTCTCACTTCCTTACCTCTCCTGCCTAAAAGGCCAGATCATTTCCCTTGGCTCCCAAACATGCTGAGAGTTTCCTCATGTCTTGACCCTGCTTCCTCCTCCAGCTACTGCTCCACTTTTCTCCTTCCTTTATGGCAAATTCCTCAAAAGAGTTGTGAGCTCTTGTGTGCGTGCACTGCACTTCCTTCCCTCCCATTCTTTCTTGAGCCTACTCCAGTCAGGCTTCCGTCCTGTCCTTCCTCCAAAGCTGTCAAAGTCATTGATGACGTCTACATTGTTAAAATTATTGTTTAGGTCTCAGTTCTTACCGGCCTTGACCCATAGTAGCCCTGAATCCAGCTGGTCACTCCCTCTTCCTGGAAATGCTTTCTTTTCTCAGCTTCCAGGACAACCCACGGTCTTCTTCTTACTGCCTTATTGGCTCCTCCTCAACTAACTAGTCAGACACTAAATGCAGGCGGGTTCCAGGGCTCAGTTCTTGGTCTTACCTTTGTCTACGTTCACTTCTCTGGGAATTATATCCATCCTCATGGCTGTAAATATCATGTATTTGGCTAACATGTCACAAATGCATACCTCCAGTCCCATGACCTCACCCTTGAGTTCCAGGCAATGGCCACTTAGATGTCTAACAGGCACCTTGAACTTCAGATGGCTAAAACCAAACTTCTGCTTTTATCTCTCAAACTTGCTTTTGCCTTGGCCTCTCCCACACCCCCACACCAGTTAATCTGCCCATCCTCAGGGACATCTTTCACTCCTCTCTCTTCCATCTATACAAGGAAATCCTCTCTGCTTTGCTTTCTTTTTTTTTTTGAGTTGGAGTCTCACTCTGTTGCCCAGACTAGAGTGCAGTGGCCACTCCTGGCCACCGCAGCCTCGACCTGCTGGGCTCAGGCAATCCTTCCGCCTCAGTCTTCCAAGTGGCTGGAACCACAGGGCGCATCACCACGCCCAGCTAATTTTTTGATTTATTGTAGAGATGAGGTCTTGCTAAATTGCCCAGGCTGGTCTTGAACCCCATCACTCCTACAAGATGTACTATATTCAGCAGCCAAGTCATGTTCCTCATCTGTTCATAACCCTCTTGTGGCTCCTCCTCATTCAGAGTCAAGGTGAAAGTCCTCTTCATAGCCCCCACCACCTCTCTGACCTCACCCCATTCACTCTCGCCCTCACTCACTCTGCTCAGCAGTGCTGACTTGGCTGTCCCTCACACATGCCAAGCACACACCGGCCTCAGGGCCTTGGTATGAGCCCTTTGCCTGAATCGCTTTAACCTCAGATATCTGCATGGCTCCCTTCTTCACCTCCTTTCCTGAGGCTTCCCTTCAGGAGAGGCCCTAGACTTTGTGAGGGAAGCTCAAACATTGAATTCTCACAGAGGCTTACCTGGGCACCCTATTTATGATTCAAGCATCTCTCTCTCTTTCTGCACTCTTCCTTCCCTGGTTTTTTAAAAAAATTCCATTGCCCTTATCCCCTATGACATATATTTACAAGTTTGTTTATTGGCTGTTGCTCCTTTCTGGACTCTGACCTCCATGTGGCCAGATATGAGTACACTGCTGTGTCCTCAGTGCCTAGAACAGTATATGATTTGCAGCAGATGCTCCACAACTATTTGCTCAATGAATTCATCAATGAAGAAGTGAATGCGATGCTAGGACAAAGCCTCACTCAGGGCTCCCTGACCACCAGTTGATCACAGAGGGACCTTCAGTTTAGCATTGCCCCAGAAATAGGTTCCTGCCTGAGTGTGTGTGGTGTGTGTGTGTGTGTGTGTGTGTGTGTGTGTGTGTGTGTGTGTGCATGGATATATGTGCACCCACCTGTTCGGGCTTAAGGCCCGGGGGCACCCAGGCATACTCCTCTGATGCACAGCCTGAGTCGTCATCTGAGATGGAGTGGCGCTGGAAGTCTGAGATGAGCCGACACATAATGCGTTCCAGGTCCACAGGCACTGCTTGCACTGCATGCTCCTCCCGCGGGCATTTGCAGTGCTGGCAGATCTTTCTGAGGGGGCCAGGATAGGGGTCAATTACTAAGGTGTTGCCCACCTGGATCCCTCGGCAGCCCAAGCCCACTTGAGGGATGGGGACATGCAGATTATCATCACCAAAGGGCACTGATGGGGGACAGGGATCTGGGTCTGGGGGTGGAGTTGACGGGAGGTGGGGATATGAGCCGAGGTCTGGCTGTGAGCCTCTGGACCGGTCTTGGAGAGTGGGGAACTGATTGTGAGAGGACTGTTTCCAGCTGAGGGCAGGGCTGTAAGACAGGAGCCAAGGGCATGGCTGTTAACTGGAGAGTAGGGTTATGAGCCTGGGCATGGGATGTGAAGAGGAGGGGCTGTGGAGGTCTCAAGGACATTCCCTACCTTTCAGTTCTGGAACTTGTGTCAGACTCTGGACAGCTGGCCTACGTAGGGGTGGGGCTCCCAGACTCAGACTGGCGGTATAAATCTAGGGGCTTCCCCTGAGGAAAGGCTCTGGACTTTGTTGGGGAACTTTTTCTAGAGATGAGGCTCTAGCCTGTGATGAGGCTTTGAACTTGTGGCTTGTGGGCAGGCAGGAATCTGAGTCTGTGGGTAGGGCTTGATTCTGGGGCTGCGGATTCTGTCTGTGGTATTTTGAGATTTTTTTTTTTTTTTTGAGTTGGAGTCTCACTCTGTCACCCAGAC